TCTTGAGAGAACATTAGACAACTACTTTTCGATTTCATTAAATTAAATCATTAAATCTTTTCGTATAGGTCCTAGAACATTTTCCACCTGATGTGGCTACATTTTGACACTCTTTCCGAACTTAACAACGTATGTTATTGGACAAGACCAACAACATATATTCCTACATATTAGTGGTGATCCCCTATCGTGATCGCCCAAAGACAATGTTCATATGTTGATGTCGTGCGTGATCTGATAATGCCAGTTCGTCATGTAAAACCAGTAAGGAAAGTAGAAAAGTCGGACGGGGCCGACTATATGATACCCTTCACCTCTTTAGGTATATTCATCAGATGGAATCCTAACAGACGTTGCATTTTTGAAGGACCATTAACATTAAATTAAACATGTCATTCTGCAACCTATACGAAATTTTGGTCAGATATAGAGTTGCTTCTTACAGTGGGACAATATTATGTAAATAAATTTAAAGCAAGATATCGAAATCTAAACCGATTTCATCCAAACTAGTCACAAGTGAGGTTACACTTATTTAAGTATGTTTTGTGCATTCGGCCGCATCGAATGATATATAGGGACATTGGTGCACCATTTACATAAAATCGAACGAAAATATACACTGGAGCTATATCTAAATCTGGACCGATTTTCACGAAACTTAGCACACATTATTCTGGACTTAATTCAGTACGCTGTGCCAAATTTCGTGCAAACCGAATGATATATAGGGACTGTGGTACACCATTTACCTCAAATCGGAAGAAAATATATATGGAAGCTATATCTAAATCTGAACCTATTTTCAAGAAACTTAACCCACATCATTCTAGACCCAATTCATTACGTTGTGCCAAATTTCGTGCAAATCGAAAGATATATATGGGCTTTGGTGCACCATTTACATTAAATCGGACGAAAATACATATGGAAGCTATGTCTAAATCTGAATCGGTTTTAAGGAAACATAGCACACATCATTCCTGACTTAATCAATACGCAATACCAAATTTTGGGCAAATCGAACGATATATAGGCACTTTGGTACCCCATTTACATTAAATCGGACGAAATTATATATGGGAGCTATATCTAAATCAGAACCAATCTTTCCCAATTTCAATATGGTTCGTCCTTAGGCCAAATAAGCTTGTTACAAACATATGCACAAAGACATAATACCCTGTACTACAGTGCGGTGAAGGTTATAAAAATTCCACGCCTTACCCTTGGAAACAAATTCAAAATATATGCTTAAGAAAATATTTAAATAATATCCACGCCTCGTGCATGTCCGTCAATTTTAGATCAATAATCCACTATAAAATCCACAGCAAATCATTTTCGTTTCATTAGTACGATAAAAAGCTAAAAAATCAGTTAACAATGCTATACCAATAAATTCCGATATAATTTGTATTTTCAGTAAAATCAATATCATTGGGTCAACGAGCAATGGTAATAATTAAAAACAGTAAAAATTCAATTATTACTGATAACACTTCTCCTCAATTCAGCATATTAAATAACAACATTATTTATCTACAAGGTGCATGGATTTTTGTTTTTATTTTTAACATAACACCTTTTCCTATCATAGTTATGTAATACAATGGTTTAACTACTTCGTTTTCCCCCTCACGCAAAACCAACGAAAAAAATAAACAAATAAAGAAAAAAATAACACAATTCTTATCAATTGAAAGTCAAAAATAAAACATGTGAAGGCATGGCAAAATAATGCCAGTAATGTGTCCCACTCGTGTGAAGTGAATTCAAGTCACAATCTAGTCACGTTTATCATCATAACAATGTGGAAGAAAACAATACAGTGGTTCGAGAAAAATAAATAAATGACAATGGAGAATTTAATTTACCCAACGTAATAAATGCCATATGTAAGTCCTGGCGAATTTCTTAAGACAAATCGGCCAAATGAAATACAGAGGCACAAAATTCCATATCCCTGTAAAACCCTTCGTACCACTTTTTGACCATTAGCATGTATGGATCCGAGCAAAGTGCAACTGACACAGTTGGAGAAACCATGCAGATGATAAAATCATTGCATATCACCTCATAAGCTGCCCTGGATGTTTAGATATCACGTAATGCAATCAAAATACAGAAGACCTTCTATCGCTTCCATTTATTTATTTAAAAAGAAAACGTTTAAACTCATATTTCATAAATGTTTTATGTTTTATATAAAATCCTTCTGGTCCACAATTAGAAGACCCTCTGGTTATTAATAATCAGACTGTAGAGAGGAAGCGGTTATCTAGAGAAAAATAATGACATTTTATAAGGAGGCTTTTAGTTCTATAAGAACAAATCTACAAGAGGACTTATTAGTTCTCTATAATAAAATCGTTTTGAATTCTATAAGAGCTCCTTTCTTTTTTCAACCATAAATTATTTTTGTATTCTCTGACAAGAAATTCTATTCCTCTATAATAAATTTTCGGTTATTAGCCGACATTCTTATTATTAGTTGGACGGCCCTCTTGACATCTATCAAGAGTCATTATTATCTTCTATAAGTACGTTCTAATAATATATGTGGGGATTCTGAACTTTTACCAGAAGTCATCTGTGTTTCTTTGAGAAGACGTCTTAGTATTTTATAATAAGTTGGCTTAGAAAACCCTTTCAGACCCAAAAAATATTGTTAATTTCACCGATGTGTATAAATATTGCAATAGAAGCCACTTCTTAAGTTCGTTTTAAGTTTATTTATCGGGAGAAAAGAAGAGAGGAGAAACGTATTTTCAGAAGAAAGAGCAAGAGAAACGTGAGCGTGAGCAAATCGATATGTACAGGAGTCAGAATGAAGTCCGAAAATTCTACCAACGGGTAAAACACCAAACCGAAGGCACATCCTCCTGCAGAGATAAAGAAGGAAACCTGGTGACAGATACAAACAGCGTGCTGAGGATCTGGAAGGAGCATTTTTAAAAACTTCTGGTATCAAATAATAGCGGTGAAGAGGATACCCAAAACCAATAAGAGATGACGGTATATATTGTATACCACCTAGCCAAGATGATGTCAGAGTTGCAATTAATCGGCTGAAGAACTATAAAGCAGCAGGTGTCGATGGATTACCAGCCGAACTATTCCGGTAGTCACATACTGGTCAGGAATATGCACAAGCTGATTAATAACATTTGGTTAGAGGAATGCATACCCAATGATTGGAACCTCAGCATCATGTGTCCCGTGCTAGAAAGGAGACAAGACGATATGTGCCAAATATTCAGGAATTAGTCTCCTCCCCAACGCATATAAAGTGCTATCTAGGTTGCTGTGTGAACGACCGAAGCCAATGGTAAATGACATTATTGGACCACATAAATGCGGCTTCGGGCATGGCAATTCCACCACTGACCAGATTTTCACTCCGCGCCATATCCTGGAAAAGGCCTTACGAAAAACACATCGACATATTTCACCTATTCGTCGACTATAAAGCCGCATTCGACAGCCCAATCTGTTCAGAGGTGTTTAATGCCATGTATGCGTTCGGCATTCCTTCAAAATTAATACGGTTATGCAGGATAACTTTGCGTGACACAAGGTCAGCAGTTAAAGTTGGAAAGGACCTCTCGGAACCCTTCAATGCCGAACTAGGATTCATACAAGGTGACAGTTTGTCGTGTGTCCTGTTTAACATTATGCTGGAAAAGATCATTCGAGATTCAAATGTGAACAGAAATGACACTCTGTACACCAAACAACACATGTTACTCGCCTACGCCGACGACATCGACATAATTGGTCGAACACTGAGTGCGGTAACAGCCACCTTTGAACGAATTGCAAAAGTGGGACTGGAAGTAAATGGCGAGAAGACCAAGCTGATGGTATCAACGCGCAAAACGTACAGTAACTCGGACCAACTGTGGAACAGCTTCGAGTTACTGAACGAATTTTTATACTACGGTACCGCCATAAACAAAACTAATGACATCAGATTTGCTATTATGGTATGCGTAAGTAACTCAAAACCAAGAACACCTCTCGCCAGAGAAAACTCGCGCTCTACAAGACGCTGATATTACCAGTGCTGTTGTATGGATCTGAAGTATAGGTACTGGCGCAGTCAGATGTGGCAGCTCTTGGAGTGTTTGTGAGAAAAATTCTTCGGATGATATATGGACCGATCTGCATGAGCTATACCATCTATTCTCGAACATCGACATAGACAGACGGATCGATTTGCGTCAACGTAGTCGCCGACTAGGTCTTGTTGTGGGTTGGATGAGGATACCCCAGGGTATATAAAAGCGAGCCAAGTGATGGTTCACGCAAAAGGGAAAGGCAACGAATCAGATGGAAAGATCAAGATCTTTTTTTCAAGCTAGGATTATGGATCAACTGTTCTGTCACATGCCAGCTAAATAAGTAAGTACCAGTTAACCTTTATACAGCGAGCGGTGATGTGTGTGATTTTCTATAGAAATTCAATGTTTTCGCACCTAAAACTACATTCTGTTATTCTAGATATTTAGATATATTATAACAGCTATATAGTGATTTCAGACCTTAGATAATATGTTGGTGTGCTATAATTATTGCCACTAATGTATACAAAATAAATCACGTGTCAATCAACCGATAATATTTTCTTGCTTTCTTTGTCTACCATTTACAATTTATTCTTCATTATTGTCGGGATAATTAAATTATACTGCTTAGGCCAGCAATAATCAATAAATCGATACCTTGTCTTTTTTAGAACAAATAACAACATGTTGTTTACAATTGTGTTTTATTAGTTATTAATCTTATCGTTTGGCATCGATTAAAGAATGTCGAATTTTTAATCAAATCGAGCTAATCTGCTGCAAAAGCTTGAGGTGATAAATTCAGTTCATTTTCATCCGCCAGAATTAACGCCTCTCGCAATGCGGACAATAGCGGCAGGATTTTCTCTATGCCTACTCTTGGGTCTTTGTGTTCTAAACAGCCATGGTTTACCCTCCTCCCCATGTAACATGGATGATGAGGAGTGTCGTGATCGTTTAATGCATCCTGATTTACCAGTAGATCCTAACCATAAATCAAGAGCCCTTGACGGAGAAAAGGAATCCGATTATTGGCTGAATCAAGGCAAACAATTTGTGGAGACTAAAATTAAGACCCCCTTGAATACAAAGAAGGCGAAAAATGTGATTATGTTCTTGGGGGATGGTATGGGTCTGACCACCACGGCTGCAGCCCGCAATTTAATTGGAGGTGAGCATGCTGAATTGTCTTTTGAGAAATTCCCACATGTGGGTTTGGCCAAGACCTATGCTGTGGATAAAATTGTACCCGATTCGGCTAATACCGCCACTGCTTATTTGTGTGGTGTTAAGGCCATGTATGGCACCCTGGGTGTCAATGGCAGGGTGGAACGTGAAGATTGCCAAACAATGTTGGATAAAAGTACCCATGTCACCTCCATTGCTCAGTGGGCTATTGATGCTGGTAAATCCGCAGGTGTGGTGACAACAACCCGAGTGACACATGCCTCACCGGCTGGTGCCTATGCTCACATTGCCGAGCGGGATTGGGAAAATGATTTCGAGGTGAAGCAGTCATGTGGTCGAACCTCGAACATTGATGATATTGCCCTGCAACTGATTCATGGTGAGACGGGTAGTAAATTCAAAATTATGATGGGTGGTGGTAAGCACCACTTCGTGGACTCATCGCTCTACAGCAAAGGAAAGCGATCCGATGGTCGTAATCTAATTGAGGAATATAAGGCCCAAAACCCACGCAATGCCTATGTGGAGACCAAGGAGGAATTGGCCAAATTAAATTTGAAAGAAGTGGATCGTATCTTGGGTTTGTTCCATGATTCCCATTTGGAATTCCGTTTGGATACAGATGAAAATGCCACTCAACCTACCTTGGAGGAAATGACCCGGCGTACCATTGAATTTTTGAGTCAGGATGAAAATGGCTACTTTGTGTTCATTGAGGGTGGACGCATTGATTCGGCACATCATGATAATACACCGCGGAAGGCTTTGGATGAAACCATTGAATTTTCCAAGGCCATACAATTGGCCAGGGAAATGACCAATGAAGAGGATACATTGATTGTGGTGACTGCTGATCATTCACATGCTTTTACCTATGGTGGTTATCCGGTAAGATAACAAAAGGGTTAACCAGGAAATTTTTAATAATTTTATAATTTTTTTCTTTTCAGTACCGTGGTAGTGACATTTTTGCCAGTTCCCCCACAAAACCGGACGATAAAACTCCCATGATGGTGTTAGGCTATTCCAATGGGCCTGGTCATACGAAATTCTATGATTCGAAAAATGGTGTTCGCCATGACCCCACAACGTTGATGACTGGCAAGGCCAATGATGAATATCCTGCCACATTCCCTCGTGATTCGGAAACACATGGTGGTGAAGATGTTGCCGTTTATGCTTCTGGACCTTGGTCACATCTATTTACCGGTGTTTATGAACAAAATGCCATTCCCCATATGATGGCCTATGCCCTGTGTGTGGGTAATGGCCTGAAGGCATGCGATTAGATTAGAATTTAATTATAGACTGATTAAGATAGCCGTAGTTTAAGATCTGAATTATTAGATGTTATAAATATTTGTTGGAGAATTTTATGATGTACGAAAAAAACATTTGGTTATTTTGGGAAATATTTTTGGTGTCGTCAGAGATCGTTTGATAAGAGATTATGGAATGGGCCAGAATGTTTGAAATATTTGCCGTATGTCTAATGAGGGCATACACACTTTGATACGACAAAAATGTGACCCATAAAAATATTGGGTTTTGACCCCATGTTCCTTCAATTTTAAAATGTCCTTCCGTCTATTTATTTGGTGCGCACAAATTTTGCATATCGTCTTGCACACGTATAACAACTTCAAATATGAATAATACCGGTCAATCCCTTCTGGTACCTTCCCCACAAAATTATTCAAATTTTGAGCAAACCTGTATAATGATTGAAAGTGCTACCCATCGGTCCACTCCTTCTAGTAATTCCTCCAAAAAGTGTCAACATTAAAAAAATATATATTAAATTATAATTATTTATTTTTAGCACAATTTTGACCATTTTGTTCACGAGATACCAGAACGAGTGGTCCTATATTTCCCATCTTCGAACCTGAACTAAGCCTTGAAGAAATATTGCGATGACCAAAGTTTGGTTGAAATCGAGAGTGAGCGTGCGCACCAGCCAGACGGACTGAAGGACGGCTATTTGTAAATCAACTCAAAATTGTCTTAAACGGATTTGATCCGAAGAAACATGGGGTCTAAAACCAATATTTCGATGAGGCACATTTTTACCGTATCAAAGTGCATATACCCTCATTAGTCATAACCTGAAGGTATAACAAATTGGAATATATTTCATACCAACCAAACACTCAATTATCCTTACTATGATAAAGACAACCCCTTCAACAACCACTCGGAAATAACGCAATCAATACCTATTATTTGACACATACAGAACTAGCCTATAATTTCCCTGCTAACAATTTGTTCCATTTCGTTTTTTTCGGTTTTGTCCGATTTTTATGCCGAATTCTTACAGAAATAATTGGGAAAAAATTAATTCGGAAAAATCTGATATCAGAGACTTCGGCAAAAATTCTTAGCTTGGTTGAAAGCAGCTCGGGCATTTATATTTTTTAACCTCAGGGGACATTTTAGAGAATTTACAGCGAACTGCCAAAAAGTATGCTATGCGTTTTTTTCAAAAAATATTTCCGTCCGTATAAGATTCTAGTTATTATTTCGACACAGACTGCTTCAAAAATTACCAATTTCCATTTGTAGACACAAAATCCGCCGCAGCTCTTTACCATTATGTTCGGTATGACAGTTGGTTTTTACTAATTTTCCAATTCTTGGGCATTCCTTGGACTTGTTTTTTTAGTTTAAGGAAATTTAAAATAAAACCAGTGAGCGGAGCAGTATAGTCGGACGGGGCCGACCATACGATACCCTACACAACTACCACGGAACTCAAATTTTCTGCGGATGTTTATTCCGAGCCTGGGCAATATTTCGTGATATTTGCACCCTCTTGGCCGATTAGAGGTAAACAGTACCTCTTCCTCACACTGACATATTTTCCGAATATTACGAGTATTCAGTAAAGCTATTGTCCAGATTCCCTTCGCCGTGGGTTGTGTTGCGATGTTCGTCTTTCATTTGTGGTCTATAGATCGACTCGAAAATTACACAAAAAATTAAGTTTTCGGTCCACTTCATTCCAAAAATTTTATCTGATCATCACCGAAAATTATAGGCGTTGTCCTTGACCATAACTGGAACCACATGGAACATTTCAAAGCGATCAGCGCTATAGTTCCGCTCTCCAGAGTGAAAATGGGTTACTAAATAATATACGAATACTGAGATACCTGTAAATATTTAGATGTAACTCCCACATCCAAGCACATGCAACAATATAATTGGTCTTAATTTAAAGGTCAACCACTCCTCTTGGATATAATATCAACTTCTCGGGTAAATGTGCTTCAGGGGTAAATATATACGCCATAGAATACAAATTTTGTCATTTCTCACACAAATGTCAGGGTCCATTTGACCCGCTAAATATTGACCGATCTTTATTTATAACAGGCATGCTTATTCTTTGGCTCAATCCGCTTCTCCATGCAAAATTTCACGATGTTCGGGCCATTATTGCGGCCCCTGGAGCGTCCAGAAAAACCGACAACAATTTAGTATTTGGTCCATTTCATCCCCTAAATATTTACCGATCTTTCCCATAAACAATAGGGGTCTTCATTGGCCAGAACCCATCCTACATGCAAAATTTCGTGAAGATTGGTCCATAACTGTGGGCTGTATCGTGTTTACAAATTATAATGGACAGACGGACGGACGGACGGACACACATGTCTAGATCGACTCAGCTAGTCGAGATATGACGATCGGTATACTTAAAGGTGGGTCTAGGACCAATATTTCGCGGCGTTACAAACTTTTGGGGCTGCACAAAGCTATAATACCCTGACAACATAGTTGTGTGGGGTATTATAACATCGATATGCATCTTAAGAATCGTTGATCTATGTGTATGAGCTTAAAAAGAAAAGAAAAAAAACAGCAAAACAGTGCTGATCTTCCAACATCCAAACCCGCAATTATTCGTGGAAGAAGCGAACGCCTTTTTCTTAGGCAAAACTGGTAATGTGACGACTGTGCGCATGAGCAACGTAGGATGTTAATTTAAAGAGATACAATTTGTTTGCCTGAAGTCTTCTGATAATTTAAAAAAAAACGAGCAAGTCATATCTTTACAATGAGACCTCTCACACATCGTGTAAAACCAGCTTTTTTTCGCCAAATCCTAGAATTTATGGATCATCCGCCGATCGGAGGTTCAGAAAATTATATATTTCCCCTTTTGTTCGTCACCGATTTTTAGTTTCTATATGGCATTTGATAGGAACATTTTAAAAACAGGAACTCACAAATAAGCGTGCCCCTTAATAATACATCAAAAGTCCCGCATTTAGGAAAACAAATTTTTTGTGCAAATTTCTGGTGAAAGAAACTATGAAAAGTAATACATTAATTGTTCTTTATAACCTTTAATAAACGATGAGCTATTTTATTTTTTCTAGGGTACACAATTTTTATGAAATACCAACTTTAGTAGAAAAGAACTTGTAGGGAAGAATAAGGAACCTGACCTCTTTCCAAATGTCCGAATGTCTGTTTCAAATAACAAGATATATTTTAAAACTCATCGCAACTACGCCTAGCATGTTAGGTATAGCCTTCATATATTCGGTTTTTTGGGGATTTTATGAATATTTTTCAATCGGAATTCGGTTTCGGAGTTTTCTAACCAAAATTACTGTCGTTATACCATACACAACTATGTTGTCAGGGTAATATAGTTCTGTGTAGCCCAAGAGTTTGTAACGCCGGGAAGTATTGGTCCTAGACACAACTTTTAGTATCCCGATCGTCATATCTCTACTAGCTGAGTCGATCAAGACATGTGTGTCTGCCTCTCCGCTAAACGATCGGTTAATATTCAGGGGATAAAATGCACTAAAAACCTTACTTTTGTCTCTTATTTTTTTTTTTTTTTTTTTTTTTTTTGACCCAAGCATCCCGATATTTTACACAGAGAAATGAACCCATCGAATAGACATGGCTGTCTTGATGAAGGTCGGTCAATATTTATCGGATTGAATATAAACCAACTTTTGTGTGAAGGACATACAACGGAGAAATTGAGAGTATATCCTAGAGGAGTGGTTGACCTTTGAGTTGATACCAATTATGTTGTTGTACGCACTCGGATGTGAGAGTCATACGTAAATACAGGGGTCTACCTATTCTGATATTATTTAGTATTACAAATACCACACTAGAAGGAGGAAATGTCTCGCTAGGAAATTTTGCATGAAGTTCCGGTTATGGGCAAGGACGACACAAAATGGACCATAAACTTAATTTTTGTGAATTTTTTCAAGTCCCTCTATAGACCACAAGTATATGCCGAACATCACAATACAACACACCAGACGGATAAGGGAATCTGGCCAACTAATTAGAAGAATTGTTTTGTTGATGTACAGTCAATATTCTGTTGGTTAAATATTCACCCTGTGAAAACAAATTTCGAAAAAGACGATAGTTCTTACTGTTGACCTCTAATCGGTGAAATATCGCGAAATAATACCAACACTAAGTCTCCTTCCCATCGCATATAAAGTGCTATCCAGTGTGCTGTGTGAACGATTGCAGCCAATGGCCATGACATCATCGGACCATACCAATGCGGCTTCAGACCTGGCAAATCCACCATTGACCAGATTTTCACTCTGCGCCAAATCCTGGAAAAGACCCACGAAAAACACATCGACACATACCATCTATTTGTCGACTATAAAGCCGCATTCGACAGCCCTATCCGTTCAGAGGTAATTAAAGCCATGACTGCGTTCGGCATTCCTGCAAAATTAATACGGCTATGCAGGATAACTTTAAGTGGCACAAGGTCAGCAGTTAAAGTAGGAAAGGACCTATGGGAGCCCTTCAATACCGCTGGAAAAGGTCATACGAGAGGGCACTCTGAACACCAAACAACACATGTTACTCGCCTACGCCGGTGATATCGATATAATGGGTCGAACATTGCGAGCGGTAACAGCCACATTTGAACAAATTGAAAAGGAGTCTGCCAAAGTGGGTCTGACAGTAAACGGCGAGAGGACCAAGCTGATGGTATCAACGCGCAAGAAGTCCAGTAGACTCGGACCAACTGTGGAACTTGCGAACTACAGCTTCGAGGTAGTTAAATACTTTATATACCTTGGTACCGCCATAAATAAAACGAATGACATCAGTTTTAAAATTCGGAGAAGGATTGTGATGGCCAACAGATGCTACTATGGTCTAAGTAAGCAGTTTAGAAACAAAGCCACCTCCCGCCAGACCAAACTCACACTTTACAAGACGTTATACTACCCGTGCTATTATATGGATCAGAAGCATGGGTACTTGGGCAAGCAGATGAGGCAGCTCT